ATACAGTGGGTGATCGGTTAACGAACATAATCCGTTCCAAGACTTTGTTCGCTATCTGAATTGTTCGTTAACCGATTATCGATTTACCATAGGTTTTTATGGGAATTTGATTAATTCGTTCTGGAAACTTCAAAAAATAAAAAATATGTAGTACATTCTTACTACGTTTATTTATATGTGATAATAAAAATACATATATACACAGTCGTGCATTTTTATCAGTCATATTTTTCTGTTTGAAAGGGTTAAAGAATCTGTCTAACGTCGATTGCTTTTCACTCTCTTCTTCAGATTTTTCAGAAGTAATTAATAGCATTATAATTGTAGAGATCCCTAAGCCAATCTCAACCTGGTTTGGATGACATTCTAAGACCGTTGTTCTGACATCCTCCCACTTCTTCAAAAGATCTTTAATAGCAAATATTGACATTAATCAAATTCCTGGTGTTCTTCATTCAAGAGTTCTTGTTCTTGGAGTCTTCTGTGGTTGTATCCTTTTCAGGTTCCATTATGTTCTCTTCAATGTTCTTTATTTCTCAGATATGATTTTTTTACTCCTTCAGCAGCTTGAGTCTTCTTGATTATATCTACCTTTGCTACGTATAACAGCAAAGGTAGAGAGTGGGCAGAAGATGTCTGATGTTGCTGGGCAGTATGGCTTGAACAGATCTACAGTAGGCCGTAGTTCAATCTTATCTAAGAAAGATACAGCATAATCAAGAAGACTCAAGCAGCTAAAGGAGTACTCTCACCTTTCAAAAATAAAAACCGATGCAAAACTGCCCGCCCGACAGTCTCGCGAATACTATAAAAGAATTGTTTCTGTCAGAAAAATAAAAGCCTGGAATTACAAGGGAGAGTATCAAAGTTCAGAGGAATATTATCTAATCAGTATATACCGAGTTGAGATGTCGACATCTCTCTCGCTTCCCGAAAAGTTTCGAATTCTTGCCTGAAGACAAGGGGAGACCAATCGGTATTCATTATTTTACGTCGCTTCTTCGTTGTCCGAACATAAAAATCTTTCGCGAAAGTGTTCGTTATTCCAGTGGTCCCCAACCCCCGGGCCGCGGACCGGTACCGGTCCGTGGATCAAATGGTACCGGGCCGCGCAAGAAACATTAAATTATTTCCATTTTATTTACTATGGTATTTCCTCGGATTTGTGCGACTTTTAATGGACGACGGAACAACGGAATAAACTGGACATAAGAAACACACTTCGGGTGTCATTGTCTCCTATTACCCCCAGATGGAACCGTCTTGTTGCAAAAAAACAAGCTCAAGGTTCTCATTGATTTAGCGTTCTAGTGAGTTAAAATTTTAAATCACATTACTGTATATTCATTTTTTGGTGTAACTGTATATTACTTTGAAGGCATTTTTAAATACAATTAAATTAAAATTATTAAATTAAATTAATCTAAAATATAAACAATCAACGTCCCCCCTCCGTGGGCCGCGATAAAATTATCAAACGTTGGCCGGTCCGCGGCGATAAAAAGGTTGGGGACCGCTGCGTTATTCGATTTGTTCGTAGTCCGAATTGTTCGTTAACCGATCACCCACTGTATTTTAGTATTTATTATTAATTTTATTATTTCCTTTTATCTTCTCTGCTGTTAAAACAACAGAAGGAAAATATTGTAATCGGTTAAATTTTGACTCTGAATTTCTTGCATTTCTCGAATGTCTTAAGGTCTCCCTATTTAAAAAAAAAACGAAATTCTGTATGTGTTATCTTGTATTTTGCTTTATATCTGAGAACCTCCTTGGGATACCTCAGAAAATTTTTTATACAGTATTTGACAGAAATAGTTCTATATATGGCATTAATACTATTACGTTTTGAAAGTTATAAATCAAGGTTGAGGAGAGATAGGAGTAGGAGTCATATCTTCAGTAATGTCAGATACAGTATAATGAAAATTTTACTCGTTATTGACATTTAAAGTTTTTTAAAGACTTATCCCTCCCCAAAATAAGGCTTTTGCCTGTTATAATAATTAAAATATTATAAACATTATTTTAAAATAAAACCTCAAAGATGGAGTCACATATTAAGTTCGAACCCTTTTTGTGTTTCCTCCTATAATAATAATAATCCATTTTAAACTTAAATACTTTTTTTTGAAAAATCAAAAAAGTCGTGCAAGAATCCTTAATTTTTTAAATTAATAATTATAGTAATAAAAGAAAATAAAGTTTCAACTTATTAAAACATCATAGAACACTGTTTTCCATTATTTAATTTAAAAATAATGGAATCTATAAAAAGCTGAAAAACCGAATTCTTTCTTTCTGTCACTGTATGCCAAAAATGGCCATTAGGGGCGCCCCTAGCAATTATTTAAATTAACAATAAATTCAGTATATTATTATTTGATGCGGTTTTTGCATTTTTGGCTGCGCTTTAGTAGGGTACATCATGAGAAATTCAGTATATTATTATTTTTATTTGTAATCGGAATTTATTATTTATACCATGGAATGACACCGCTGCTGCTAGAACGTCCACTAGGGGGCGTCCCGGGCCACTAGAATAGAAGGATTGAAAGCACGAAATAATCTAATAATCTTAATCTTTGTTGTTGTTTTTTGCCCGGGCAACACCGGGCTCATCTGCTGGTCTGCTAATAATATTCAAAATGTAGGGATGAAATCGATTTCAAATTATTCCTGTAGTAGTGTGGTGATATTAAGCTAAGATTTCAAAATACCTCCTCAAAGAACTTATCATTTGTACCGGTACGCTCCATCAGAATAAAACATGGAGCGGATGTAAAATTCCGATTAATCAGCCCGCTTTTTCAGCCAGATTCTGACTGAAACTTAAGATTATGGTCTATTGAGGACAATTATTGTCTAATCCATATTGGATAATGTCATTTTGTTTCATAATGTCTGCACAAGTGTTGTAGTACACAAGGCTGTCGAGAGAGGAAGCGGAGATTTTTCTCAGGATTCTGAAAAAACTTAGGGTTCCATAGTGGCTCTTACCCCGTAAATTAATATTATTTTTGATTAATAAATATAATTGTTTAAAACTGATTTTTATTAATAAACTAACTTTCTACATATTTGTTAAATTTGTTCAAAAAAGATATAATAAAAAGACACGCTTTATCCGGTGGCCTGGTAGAGCTTTAAACCCTGGTAAGCTGATCTACCTCGAAACCTGGGACACCGCGAGATTAAGTTTTATTATGGCAATAATCCTTAACAGATGGATTTACGTATACTATAGATATGTAAATGACGATAAGTAGTTGGAGTATACCATGTAATACAATTAAAATTTTTGTGACTTTTTTATTTTCCAAGTGTTGAGGCTAGCTTTCAATATTGTATTTCATTCAATACAGTTTTATTCAATAAAACGTACCACGAGTAAGTATTAAAAAAAATTATCATTTTAGTTTAATCGGGAAGGGGTAATATAAAGGGTGCAGAGGTATTATGGAATCGGGTTTCAGGCTACCCCTGAGGGTAATTTTAAATCGATTTTGGAGGTAACTTGAATAGGAAGTAATTTGAAGTTTTTATACTGGTTTCTTTTCGAGACCGGGTTTCTTTTTAACAACACCCAGGATTTATTCGAAGACCGGGGTTTAATCAATGAAATTTGTATCTATTGAAGGCCTCAATTTATTTACAGCAATTAACTCTCCCGGATTTTACGATTCTTTTCTTTATTTAACAAATTCTAAAATTTTAATAGTATAAATTTTTCTTATTTTTAAATCTAAAATACGTTTTGATGCTTAAAATTTGTTTTCTTTCAGGCGATATTGCAGAGGAAGAGGATGTTACTAATCAAACTCTGACGTCCATGATGACGTTTGACGTCATCAATCGTAGCGTATGGATTGTGGACGTAGAGTGGCAAACATCCAAAGATAATTCGACGTGGTGGACTACCTGGAACGAAAACAATGATACAGTTTATCTAAGTGTCACCAACTGTACCAATCAAAGCGAATCTTGTAATGGTACCAACATAGTGCCCGAGAGTCCTCCTTTTAACTTATGGCAGACCATAGTTATTGCTGTTCTGATAGGAATATGCTCCCTCCTAACCATAGCGGGTAATATATTGGTTCTTTTGGCGTTTGTAGTGGAACGAACAATACGCCAACCTAGCAACTATTTCATTGCTTCTTTAGCCCTCTCCGATCTTTTTATTGGAATCATCTCCATGCCTTTTTACGCTGTATACGTATTAGTCGGAAGGTGGGATCTAGGTCCTATTACCTGCGACTTGTGGTTAGCAATCGATCATACTGTATGTCTGGTTTCCATCTACACTGTATTATTAATCACTATCGATAGATATTGTTCGGTCAAGATCGCTACTAAGTACAGAGCTTGGAGAACCAATACCAAAGTGTGGTGGATGGTAATCACTACTTGGATTGTTCCGTTTTTAGTCTTTTTCATTACAGTTATGGGTTGGGAACATTTTATTGGTTATCGTGATTTAGCTCCCGGTGAATGTGCGGTGCAATTTCTTAAAGATCCCATCTTTAATACTTCTTTAATATTTGGATACTTTTATCTCACTCTCATTGTACTCTTCGTCCTTTACGCGGGAATATACAAAACGGCCAGCGACATGCAGAAAAGATCTGCAGCCAAACAGAAAAAAGTGCAATCTTTGGTCTCCATGAATAAAGAAAAATCAGAGGAGAAATCCGTTTTGACAACATCAAAATCATTCGGCCAAGAAAAAAGAAAACTTGAATCAAACAATGTAACAAATTCAAGTCAAAAAAACACAGATTCGACAGAAGGGCAAAATACAGGAAAAAAATTCGAGACGTCATTTACTGAAGAAAAGAAAGAAAATTCCGATCATTCGAGCAGCCCCGTTTTTGATTCTGACGAAGAAAATGCTGCCCCTCAAGCAAATAAAAAAGAAAAGCGAAAATCCGCAGGTAGATCGATAGAAAACTTAAAATCAATTCCTAAAATACAACCCATTCCTCCCCCGCCTCCTCCCCTGCCTCCTCCCCTGCCTCCTCCCCTGCCTCCTCCTCAACCACTCTGTCAATCTTTAAGCAGATCGTCAAGAAATAACGAAGAGAGCAAAATAAAATTACTAAATGCAGAAATGGACGAAAGAAAATTTAAAGATAACGAAAGACCCGGTAATCTGAACGTGAGTTACGTAGATCAAGAATGCCCTTCGACGTACACGCAACTGCCAACTCTCTTACATTTTGAAGGAGAAGAAGTAAAAGATATAAATGCATTACGTAACACGGGGGAAAGCATTAAAGCTCGAGACGAAATGCAATCCATTGTGGACCCCGAACGTTCGGCATTCTTAACGATTTCAAAAGAATTATCGTCTTGTTCCAAAAAAGTATCTTCTCTTCGACAGAAATTTAAAAAAGGAAGAAGCAAACTAAAAGGAGAAAAAAGACAAAAGTCCAAATCAGAAAACAGAGCCAGAAAAGCTTTGAGAACAATATCATTTATTCTGGGAGCATTCGTGTTATGCTGGACTCCCTATCACATTTTAGCCGTTGTAGAAGGTTTCTGTTCGGTTTCGTCCGGTTGTGTCAATCATCATTTCTTTTATTTTACTTATTTTCTTTGTTATGCCAACAGCCCCATCAACCCATTCTGTTACGCATTGGCCAATCTTCAGTTTAAGAAGACTTTTTATCGTATTTTAAAAGGCGATTTTCACAGAAAATAAAACCAATTAAGCGAATTAACATTTACTTATCGATAACAATTAGCTAAGAAACACGGAAAACTTTCTAGTGTTGCAATCTTTGAGATTTTAGCTGTAACGTCATTGCTTACGTAGTCATTTCTTCATTCTAAACTGTGATTGAAGAGTCAGCTACTTAGATATATATATAAATATATATAACTTACATAAAACTTTCAAGTAAAGTCAATACATAAAACTTCACCTACGATTTTTTCTAAAGAGATTGAAAAAAGGCGCAGTGTCGGTTCCTTTTAAAAAACCTACACAAAAAAAAAATACTTATAAATCTCATCCGTATATAAAGTCATTTGATAAATTGATTTTCTACTGATTAAATCACTTTTGAAACTTTTAAGATTATATTGTTTTAAATAGGATCGCGTGAATGAGATAATTGAGATTTGTATACATTTACGAGTAAGTTTGGAGCAGACTAACAATTGGAGATCGAGTACGGAATACTTTGATATAAACAAGAATAAATATATTTAAAATGTAAATCTTTAACATTAATTTCTATGTAGTGGCTACNAATTTTTATATTCCATTTTTCCAACAAAATGTTTTTATATTCCAAAATATGATCCAAAATTGTTTTCATTAATTAACGATAATAGCCTAATATATAAACTCACGCATTTATTGTACCGTACAGATGTATATTAAGCCTGATATACAGGATGATCATAATTAAAGTACCTGTATTCAACGATGTAATAAATTCTAAATAGGCCTATATATTTAGCAGTCCAAATGTAACCAAATCTGGCATATAGTAGCATTAATTAATTACCATCATCCTGTACAGTAATAAATTCGGGAAGACACAACAATAGCATTTCGAATAACCTTTCCGGTTACATTGCAGCAGTTTAGATTTCACAATTATGCATATAAATTGTTTCTATATTTTTTCTAATAACTCAACGCGATGACATCCATTTTAAGCATTAACTTTTGTTGAGTGACCTATTTAACTTCAAACTTTCATTGATATTTTGAAATGTTTACTTTTATCATAAAGGATTTCTCAACTAAGTTACACACTTATAAAGTAAGCATATAATAAACCTAGACATTCCGAGCATCTTGTAGGGGAGAGTGGGGATGAAAGAGATAAGAGATGAAAGGGACAGCCTCTATAACTTGCTGCTAAATTACTTATGGAGCTTCGCTATTTCACGGATAGATGACACTAATAGTTCATAGTTTTCACATGTTTGTAGGGTTGTTACCGCTAAAGCTCGAAACTCGTCAATCTGCAAATTACCTAGCTAATCTGCAGATTAACTAGCGTGATCCGTTAAAGTTGTGAAAATTGTTCCATTTCTCAAATTACCTAGATAATGTGCAGAGTATCTAGGTAATCCGCACATTACCTACTAGGCACTCGGTAAAGTGAAAATAAGATCTTTGCCACAAATAAATGTACCACAAATAGGTGTGCTTGTCGCAGAAACCAATTGCTATGAAATTCAAAGTGTCACCCATCTTTAGACTGCACAATTGGATAATGTTACCTATGGTGGGTAAAATGGCGGCTCGTCTCTGATTCCAGCAAA